AGAACTGAAAACAACATTACTGTCTCCACATCGTTATCTGACTTACGGTGAACTAACTAAATAACTGAATCAATGCTGGGTAGGTTTTGTGAGAAATCGGCCTAAAAGGGTACGAAAAGTACTTAAATATACTTAAACTTGAATACTTTGTATTGGATAAGTGGAGTAAGCTAGAATTCTAAAATTTGGAATGAGGGTCACTGGTGGAGTACAGGATAGATATACCAAAAGGGTTTCTGCAAATTCGTACTTTAAGATTACGAAAAGCTCTAAAGTGATACTAAACTTCTAAAATGGTACCATTTGGTATTGTGTGAATGAATGGACATAAAGTCTTGAAGTTTACCATAAAAATCTAGATTGGAAACTGCTGATATCTGTATTTGAGATTTGGCGCTGGTTTGGAAATAGACTCAAAAGAGCTAAAGAGATGCTTCGCTTGGCCGAAAGTGGTGAACAGCCGAATTTGGTTTTCTCCCCTCCGATGAGAAAACATTCGTTGTCCAGCAGTTTGTAAACAAACAAAATGATCGTGTTTACTTGCCAAAGAGGTCAACTGAAAATGAAAATGTGCACCTTCGGTTGACCACCAGCCGATGGTCGCCCTCCGCTAATATTAATTGACCGTGGCTTCAGAATAAATGACGAATATTATCGCGAAAATATTTTGGAGGGTGTATTAAAGCCTTGGACACACAAACATTTTGGGCGCAGACCTTGGACATTCCAACAGGACTCAGCACCCAAGAATGGTTACAAAATAAAGATCATCGCTTCATTTCCAGCGCACAATGACCACCAAAATCTCCCGATACCAATCCGTTGGACTATTTTGCCTCGAGTATTTTGGAAAGCAATGTTGGCACTAAAACAACCAAAGTGTCAATCACCTAAAGCAAGCATTTCGCCGGGAATGGGCCAAAATACCACAGAGCAACATTCGGGCAGCGTGTGACGGTGTCATTGGCCGTTTTAAGGCCATTATTCGTGTAAAAGGTGACCAAAGAAATCTAAACTTATTCTACAATGCAATGCTATTTCCGATATTTTTTGCTTTCATTCAAAAGAATTTTATAAAGAAAAATTGTAAAAATTATGACTTTGTTGCAGTTTTTGTATCTCACCCTGTAAAGTGCTTCACTGTGGATGGAAATGAGTGGAAATTTGGTATAGAGTGTTGGAATGGAGCTGGAATTAATAGTACTAGGATCACTGTCTTTAGTGTTTAAATATGGACGAGGAATAAGTCGTGGGATATTTTTCGATGTTTATACCCTCAGCCATATGGCTACAGAGGGTATATATCATTTGATACGGTCAAAACGTGCCTTGTCGAAATAACGGTTTTAGACCCTAGGTCTCTTTGGACCAAATCCGTTTCAGAACATTTGGAGTCGATCTAGCGATGTCCGTCCGTCCGTCCGTCTGTTTGTCTGTCTGGCTGGCTGGCTGGTGCGCACGATAACTCTCGAAGGGAGTATCCGATTTGGTCCAAACTTGGTACATCGCAATATTTTTGTCAAACTTAGATCGAGTTCGGATATGGGCAATATCGGTCCACTCCTTCTGGTACCTTCCACACAAAATGTCAAAATGTTCAAAGAAAATAATTTATTGCACAGAAAGAGAAAGGATAATCCGATTTTCCTCGAACTTTGCGAATCCTAATATTTTCATCAGTTCTAGTTCAGGTGCGAAAATGGACAATATCGGTCCACTCCATCAGGGACCTCCCCCACAAAGGGTCAAAATTTTGAATAATTACAACTCTTATAAAATGTGATGTATGAGCCCGATAGTCTTCAAATTTCACACATCGCAATAATTTAATTAGCACAAGGTTTGGTGCGCAAATGGAATGTATCGGTCCACTCCTTCTGGTACCTCCCCCACAAAAGGTCGAAATTTCAAAAAATATTTTTTGCACACAAAGAGAAACGATAATCCGATTTTGCTCGAACTTTGCAAGTGCTAGTATTTTCATCAGTGCTAGGTAAGGTGCGAAAATGGACAATATCGGTCCACTCCATCAGGGACCTCCCCCACAAAGGGTCAAAATTTTGAATAATTACAACTCTTATAAAATGTGATGTATGAGCCCGATAGTCTTCAAATTTCACACATCGCAATAATTTAATTAGCACAAGGTTTGGTGCGCAAATGGAATGTATCGGTCCACTCCTTCTGGTACCTCCCCCACAAAAGGTCGAAATTTCAAAAAATATTTTTTGCACACAAAGAGAAACGATAATCCGATTTTGCTCGAACTTTGCAAGTGCTAGTATTTTCATCAGTGCTAGGTAAGGTGCGAAAATGGACAATATCGGTCCACTCCATCAGGGACCTCCCCCACAAAGGGTCAAAATTTTGAATAATTACAACTCTTATAAAATGTGATGTATGAGCCCGATAGTCTTCAAATTTCACATATCTCAATATTTTTATAAACCCAAGATCTGGTGTTAACATGCAATGTATCGGTCCACTCCTTCTGGTACCTCCCCCTCAAAGTGTCGAAATTTTTGAATACCCATGAAGCTCATAAAAAGCCAAATTAAGATCCGATTCCATTTAAACTTGACACATCTCAATATTTCTATCAACATAAAATCTGTTATTAAGTTGGTATAGATCGAACCATTTCTTCTGGTACCTCCCCTATACATAGAGTTCAAGATTTTGAAAAACAAAACGCACAAATAAAGCTAAATAAGCATCCAACTCTTTTCAAATTTCACACACACAAATATTTTTGCTAACACAAAATCTGTTGTGTAGTTTATATAAAGGGTCACAATTTTCAATAATTTTATCTGTCATAACTTTCGAAACAATTTAGCAATTCTTTACTATTTGCTATATCCAAATATTTCTCTCAATAAGAAGCCTGATATGAACATGAAATTTATCGGAATTTATGATTTCGCATAAAATTTGACATAAATAACTTTTCTTGTAATATTTCGCTCAATATCAGATGAAGTATAAAAATGTAATATTTCGGTAGACTCTATATGGTACAACACGCACTTTTTAATATTTTCTAAAAATTATTACATATCTGATATAAAGGAAGGGGTGAGTCGATATAATCCATACCAGGAACGTTGGAATATTTATATCATATTTTTGAGTCTGATACGAACTGGACAATATTGGCCCATTCCTTCGAAACCGGCTCCATAGAGGGTCAAACATTTGAATAATTGAAACACTAGTCAAATATATTTCGATTATTTAATCGAACATAGGCTGAGGGTATATATCTGTCGGCAATACCGACTGATACTTTTTAACTTGTTTAAGGACCTTCTGACTAAAATAAAAATTTACTATTTCTTGAAGTCGAAGATTTTTGCAAAATAATTCTCAGGACTTTGTGGATTTTTAAGAACATTTCTATGATCTTCCCGACGAAATTTTTTCAAGGTTGTCCCCTCAAAAAATAGTGAAAATTTTAAAGTTATAGACTTTTACAAGTATTTCTTGAAGTCGAAGATTTTTGCGAGGACATTCCTTCAAAAAATATTATTTTTAAAAATATTTTATTCCAATCTTCTCCCTCCCTTTTCAAATATTGTAATTTTTTTTTGGACTTTTCGCTCGAAAAAAAGACTCTTTTCCTGGCAAAAGTCGTAATTTTTTAAAGTATTTTAAATATTTCCTTACAAAAAAATTTAGAATCTACGAGGATTCCCTGTTGATTTAGCGATGTCCGTCTCTCTGTCTGTCCGTCTGTCTGTTGTAATCACGCTATCTTTCGAACAAATTGAGATAGAAGGCTAAAATTTTGCACACATGTTCATTTTTCTAGTAGGCAGGTTAAGTTCGTAAATGGGTCATGTAGGTCTACGTCTTCGTATAGCCCCTTATAACGGCACCTTCCGATATTCGGTATTTTGATGATTTTAGCGACGCTGTTCACCGGAATTGTTTCAAATTTCGTATTTGAAATTCGTAATGGATACTACAGCCTTCGTATAGCCAACCTACAACGGCACCTCCCAATATTCGGTATTTTGACGATTTTAGGTACTATACTCACCGAAATTGTTTGAGGTGTCGTATATGAAGTTCGTAATAGATGATACAGCCTGTGACAGAAAATTGTCTACACAGATCCAAGTCTTCGTATAGCTCCGATATAACGGTACCTCCGTTACGGTATTTTGAAGATGCAACATAATACCTGTTTATAATATGGTAATGTCTTATAACAAACAATGCCTATTTAGGTCCACGTCGCATAGACCCCAAAGGCTATATTTGTTATTTTTAAGATTTTAAAAGAATTTTTAACGGATTTTATTTTTTGAAATTTTCCAAATTTGTTCCAAATAGTGGGTTTTCAAAAAAAAAAAGAAAAACATAATACAAAACAACATAATAATAATTAACAAGTTAAAAAACAGTAAGTTCAATATAAATCTAATTTCCTATATAAGTACAGTCATATGAGGGCTATACCAAAACGTGGAACTATGTGAACCATTTTCATTTCCAAAAAATTTGAGGACCTAAAATACATTTGGCGGAAGATTTCGACATGGAATATGCTGTCTTGGATCTAAAATGCTTAGTTTGAAAAGTTACAAACAAAATGTCAATCTTAATATACCCCACATAGCATGGCGGGAAATCGCAAGCCTAATTGCTTTGAAGATTCCAAAAGTCGATTTTTCCACTTTAGAACCATTAGCCTTTAATAAAATACATTTGGTAATTTGTTTTTTTTTTTTTTAATTTTACTATTTCAGCAAGTTTTGAAAAAAGTTTAATATTATGAAAATTCCATAATAAAACAACAATCTGAAAACCGTAACGCAACACCGTTCGTACTCCACTTACGTCAATCGCCATTCCGCACCCATCTATCTGCTCAAATATTGATTCTTTATATAATTAACGAATGAAAAAAACATAACCATCGTGTGGCATCAACAAAATGACACGAGCTCCAGTGCGCATGTCCGGCCAGAAAAAGTCGTATTATACACTCGCATACACACACAGTAGTAGTCAGGCTGGGACAACAAGAAACGAACGGCAAGGAAGTCCATCGCTAGAATTGGAAAAAATACGAAAAAGAAAAGTGTTCTTTCTGGGCTGTAGATTTTTATATTTTTGTGAGTGCAGAGATTTTTTGCAAAAAATATTTTCTAAAGAAAATACACCAGTGACCTCCAGTGCACAAAGAAATAAATAAGAAAAAATCAATAGAAAACGTTGAAAATCGAGAAAAAGAAACGACGCGACAAACTCTTCCGCAGAAATGTTAAATTTCTAAAATCGAAAGTTTCGGTTTGGCTATAATGATGTTCATACGCATTCTATTAGCAGCAATATTATTGTACAAAGGAATTGAGTGCCAATACAAAAGCATGGAAAGCGATTTCAATATCAACCACAACGACCATCAACATCACGATGCCATTGTTATGCCGAATGGCCATAACAATAATGGTGGACTGGCGTACGATGCCAGCAATGGCAATCACAACAGCAACAACAACAATAATAATGGCGATATGTACAAACAAGCCAATAAACCCCTGGACCGGGGACCATATTTCGATACCTCGGCGACAAAGAATGTCACCTCGCTGGTAGGGCGAACGGCCCATCTCAATTGTCGCATCAAGAACCTGGGCAACAAGACGGTCTCCTGGATCCGACACCGGGACCTGCATTTACTGACGGTCGCTGAGACCACCTACACATCGGACCAACGTTTTACTTCGATTTTCAACAAGGCCACGGATGACTGGTCGCTGCAAATCAAATACCCTCAGCTAAAGGATACGGGGACATACGAATGCCAAGTGTCAACGACACCGCCAGTCGGTTACACAATGTTGTTTTCCGTGGTGGAGCCGATCACTAGCATACCCGGCGGACCCGATATGTACATCGATGTGGGATCAACAGTGAATTTGACCTGTGTGGTTAGACATCTGCCCGATCCTCCGCACTCGGTGCACTGGACGCACAATAACGAAGAGATTAACTACGACTCGGCCCGGGGCGGGGTGTCGGTGATAACGGAGAAGGGTGACATAACCACCTCACACCTGCTCATACAACGTGCCACCTCCGCTGACTCTGGAATGTATACCTGCCTGCCGTCGAATGCCAATCCGAAATCGGTGACCGTGCACATACTGCAAGGTGAACATCCCGCCGCCGTTCAGGGCACCCGGAAGATAACCGCGTACGTCATCCACATTCCCATCATCCTGGCGTTCAATCTGTATCTGTTATGACCAATGATGGTGTGGATTTTATAAAAACTAAAATCTCCAACCAATATGCAACCAAACCACAAAAAAACCAAAAAAAATAATATTAATGTAAACTATTAACAATAATCCTAGAGTCCACACAAGCCCCGAATGTGTGTGTGGTGGTGTTTTCTTATTAGGAAAATTGTAATTTTCTTTCGTTTTGAAATAATAATAAAAAAAATAATAATATAAGGATAAAAATATTAAACCAAACCAATTTAACAAAAAAAAATGTATTATTTGCACATCCACATGGGTGGGTGTGTGTGTGTGTACAGGTGCTTGTGTGTGTCGGTGTCTGTGTGAGCATAAAAGGTAAAGTGATTATGGTGAGCATATTCATACATTTCATTTCTCTGAAGTGGCATTAAACGATACGAACAAAAAAAAAAACATATCCTTTGTTCAAAGCCATCGAGAGTAATGGTGGCTCTAAAATTCATTGAGTTCCTGGAATATGGAATTACCCTGCTTTCCATCCTCCTCATCCTCCTCCTGATCCCATTAAGTGATTTACATTTTTCTCCAGAAATATGGTTTTATTGGCCCCCGCACAAACCGAAAAATGGAATAAAAATCCATAATTAAATCAACTATGTGTCGATGTGTGCGTATGAGTGTGTTTGTGCAACTAACTATGTGTTGGTAATAAAAATTATTAATAAACAAGTCTGGGAAATATTCAAATGGCTTTCAAAATGTTGTGAACGACTAAATTCTGTGACATTCATGGAATTGAAAACAGTTTTCTAGGAATTCCAAGCATTCACTTTAGATGAGTGGTTTCTACTGCCTTTGAATTTTATATTTGGAAATTCATTGAAATTCTTTAAATGGTATTTTAAAAATGCAAGTTAATAGGTATTTGAAGCATAAATTAGCTCATGAGTAAATTTATTTGGAATATTAAAAAAGGAAAAAGGGACAATATGTTAGCCAACAAAATTACTTAGAAGAGGTGATTTCAACAAAAAACAAGTAAAAAAGCAATAAGTTTATCGGAGCCTGAATACCCTCCACCATTTAGAACGAATTTGGAAATTTTCAAAAAATAAAATCCTTAAAAAACTCTATTAAAATTTTAAAAATACCGAATATAGCCGTTATATTGGGGTCTATTCGACGTGGACCTACATAGGTATTGCTTGTCATAAGTCATTACCATATTCAAATTCGAAACGTGAAATAAACGGTGAATAATGTAGCTAAAATCATCAAAACGTCGTATGTAGGGAGGTACCGTTATATCGGAGATGTGCGAAGACCTGGACCTGCATAGACAATTTTGTGTCATAGGCTGTAGCATGCACTACGAACTTCAAAAACGACATCTCAAAAAATTTCGGTGGGTATTGTACCTAAACAAAACACTGAATATTGGGAGTACTGATATATGGGGCCTATACGAGAACCTGGACCTGCATAGACAATCTTCTGTCAGAGACTCTAGTTCCCATTACGATCTCTAAATACGTAATTTGAAAGAATTCCGGTGAATAATTACGCTAAAATCATCAACATTCCGAGTATCGGGAGGTACCGTTATATGGAGGCTATACGAAGACGTGGACCTACACAGATAGTTTTCTGTCTTAGGCTGTAGTATCCATTTCGAACTTCAAATACCAAATTTGAAACAATTTCGGTGAATTATGTCGCTACAATCATAAAAATACCGAATATCGGGAGGTACCATTATATGGGGGCTATATGAAAACGTGGACCTACGAACTTAACCTGCCTACTGGAAAAATAAACATGTGTGCGAAATTTTAGCCTTCTATCTCAATTCTTTCGAAAGATAGCGTGATTACAACAGACAGATGGACGGACAGACAGACAGACAGACAGACGGACATCGCTAAATCGACATAGAATTTTACGCTGATCAAGAATATATATACTTTATTGGGTCTAACATGAGGAGTTACAAACGGAATGACAAAGTTAATATACCCTCCATAGTATGGTGGAGGGTATAAAAATAATAATATAAACGAAAATGGACTAAAGTTTTACCCGCTACTCGTTCCTTAACTATGTTTTATTTATTGTCAAAATGGTTTCCTTCAAATTTCCGAAAAAATCTGGTTACAGTTGACTTTGGAATTGAAAATAGGATTTATCGATCTGCGTTTAGGTATAGTCCTAAACAACTCTTCATCCCGATTTTTTTGGATTTGATTTTGAAGTTTTCAAGAACAATTTTCCATTAAATCAACATGAATTTGGCATTTCAGGTTTTCATTTGGGACAATTTCTCAACACAAAAAGAACTATATATAGATCTAGAAGATTATTTCGATCAAAATCGAGTTAATAAAGGGTTATAGGTACTCAGGCTATATATCCAGATCTTGTGTGACCAAAAATTTTATATGTGAAATCTGAACAGAGATGGATGCCTACTTCGCTTTATTTGAGCGCTTTGTTTTTCAACATGAGGTGGGGGAGGCACCAGATGGAATGGTCCGATCTTTACCATATTTATAACAGAACTTGTGTTGCTGGAAATATTGAGATGTTCCAAGTCTGATGAATGAATGTTAATTTCGCTTTTTATGAGCTTCATTGATTTTTCAAAATGTTGACCCTTTCTGTGAGGGATCGAGAAGAAGTGATCCGATATATTCCCTCTTTACACCAGACCTTCGGTTAATAAAAGATATTCTTTTGTGGGTAATTTGAAGACTATCGGACTCCAACATCACATTCTACATATTATTATTATTCAAAATTTTGACCACTTGATGGAAGGGGGCCGATATTGTAACTGACCTAGCTCTGACGCAAACATTAGGATTTGCAAAGATGGAGAAAAATCAGACTATACTTTTTTGTGCAGGAAACACAAAAATTTTTTTTTTGAAAATTTTGACGGTTTTTGGAAAGGTATCAGAAGGAGTAGGTCGATATTGCCCATATCCGAACTCGCTCTAAGTTTGCTAATGATATTACGAAGTATCAAGTTTAGGCCAAATCGAATTTAGATCGAATCAGCTAGAAAGGTAGATAGGCGGACGAACGGACATCGCTAGATCGACCTGAATGTCCTGAAATCTTAGCCGACCCTGTTAAAATTTGGCAAAGGTATTTCTATAAGAAATCTGGTAACAAATATCATTGTTGCCGAATGCATATTGCAAATGTGAAAATCGGATTAAACATACAGGATGAGATAAAAAACTGCAGCTAAGTCAAACAGAGGTCTAGTCGAAATAACGGTTTTAGACCATAGGTCTCTTTGGACCAAATACGCTTCAGAACATTTGGAGTCGATCTAGCATTGTCCGTCCGTCCGTCTGTCTGGCTGGTGCGCACGATAACTCTCGAAGGGAGTATCCGATTTGGCCAAACTTGGCGCATTGTAATATTTTTGTCAAACCTAGATCGAGTTCGGAGATGGGCAATATCGGTCCACTGCTTCTAGTACCTCTCACACAAAAGGTCGAAATTTTCAAAAAAAAAAATATTTTTTTGCACAGAAAGAGAACCGATAATCCAATTTTTCTCCAACTTTGAAAATCCCAATATTTACCTCAGTGCTAGGTCATGTGTGAAAATGGACTCCATCAAGTACCTTCCCTACAAATGGTCAAAATTTTGAATAATTACAACTCTTATAAAATGTGATGTAAGACTACGATTGTCTTCAAATTTCACGCATTCTTTATATTTATATTAACCCAAGATCTGGTGTTAAGATATATCTGCTTCTGGTACCCCCACAAATGGTCGAAATTTTCAAAAAAATAAATTTTGCACAGATAGAGAATCGATGATCCAATTTGGCTCCAACTTTGCAAATTCTAATATTTGCGTTAGTGCTAGGTCAGGTGTGAAAATGGACAATATCTGTCTTCTCTATCTAGTACCTCTATCTAGTCAAAATTTTGAATAATTACAACTCCCATAAAATGTGATGTAAGAATCCGATTATCTTCAAATTTCACACGTCTCAATATTTATATTAACACGAGATCTGGTGATAAGATGGAGTATATCGGTCCACTCCTTCTGGTACCTCCCCCACAAAGGCTCAAAATTTTGAATATCCATGAATCTCATAAAAAGCGAAATTGACATCCGAATCCACTCAAGACTTGGTACATCCCAATATTTCCATCAACACGAGATCTCTTAAAAAGATGGTAGAGATAGGACCCTTTATTTTGCTACCTGCCCCACATAGGGTTCAAGATTTTGAAGAACACAATGATCAAGGAAAGCGAAATAAGTAATCAACACTCTTCAAATTACACACATATAAACATTTTTGGTAATACAATATCTGTAATGCAGATGATATATATCTGTGAGCCCTTTCTGATACCTCACTCACAAAGGGTTAAAATTTTCCATACTTTTATCTATCAACTTGCTATATCTAATATATTTCTCTTTGCCAAAAACCTGAGATGAATATGGAATTTTTGATTTTGCATAAAATTGGTTATAAATGTTCGATTATCTTGCAATTTTGGCCATACCAATATTTTTATCGGTATTAGATGAAGTGTAAAATGGAATATTTCGGTCGACTTTATCTGTAACCCATATAGTCCAAATCTGGCAAGTCTCTTACATAGTAATAAAATCACAAACCAATATCAGTTTTCCAAACTTTAAACAAAAAATCCGATTGTGCCATAATCACAGAACCCTACAGAACTGAGATTCAATTTAAAATGCCAAACATTCTCGCATAATTTGCAGATAACATCATTTAGCGACATGTACTTATTCAAATACAGTTTGTCACCGGGTGTTTGTTTTTATTGAACATAAATAATCAACAAATATTTAATTCATTACAAATACATCAATTTCCATGCATGTGTGTGTGGGTGTATGTGTGTGTAATCATAATCAATGAATTTCAACTGACATTTTCAATACATTTTCAATACAGCCATACGATTTAAAAAATCATTAGTACAAATTTAAAATGTTCCAAGTGCCAATGCGTTCGATTTTGTGGCAGTCGTTAACATTTCATGGAATATTGGATTCAACGCAACAA